ACACACACACACACGTGCACACACACACATGCGTGCGCGCACACACACAGGTTTCACACACACACACAGGTTTCCAGGCCGCTCCACCTCCCTGCAGCTCCTGCCTCAAGGACCCCACGTTACCGTCTGGATCAGCAGCTCCAGGTCCCGGGCCTCGAACGTGTGCTGGTTCTGAGGGTCCAGGTGTTCAAACTGCTTCAGGAGGCTCAGGTGGTCCACTTGCACGTCTGAAAGAGAGGAGACCGGTCCAAGCATCCACCGCGCGTACGCGCGCATCCATCCGCGCTGCAGCGCTGTGCGGCGGTAGCAGAACCACCCCAAGGCCCGCTGGTGGCCGAAGGGATGGGTGCACGTGGGTGCAGACACACAACCGAGTACTGCGCATCGCTGCGGAGGGAGGACCACACAGGGGCACCTCGGGGCACGGATCGCCCTGGAGGACGTTACACCGAGCGCAGCGAGTCACCTACAAAAGGTCAACTCCTGTACGAGACCCCAGTTATAAAGGGGAAATCAAGGCCGGAGGTGTTCCTGCCCAAGAAACAGCCTTTGATGGGGTGGGAGGGGCAGACGGGGCAAGGGGAGCAACAGGCACACTTGGGAGACGGAAGAGCCACCCCGCCCCTGTTCCTCACCACCATTTAAAAAGATTATTCGAGAGCCCCCGCAAACATTTCTTTTTACTTTTTATTAAATAATCATTTTATTAGGGGCTCACACAACTCATCACAAGCCTTACAAACATCATTTGTGTCCAGCACATTAGTACATATGCTGACTTCATCATTCTCACAACACCCGCTTTCCACCTGAGCCCCTGGTGTCAGCTCATTTTCCCCCCTCCCTCCTCCCCCCCACCCCCGAACCCTCGATAATTTATTAATTATTATTATTTTCCCCCAAACGTTTTTACGAACAAATGAAATCCCCAGGATCTGAATAATCTCCTTTTAAGTTATCCGATTTCCCTTCACAGTCACCTCTATGTGCCAAAAGGGCTGCATTCGGCCTGAACTCGGTGGTCTGCGGACAGACAGTTGTCTAGAAGGCAGTCAGTCGTTCATTTGGGTGAAGGAGAAGCTAGCGTTTCACAAGAGAAGAGCATTCGAGCGGGGTCGGGGAGGGGATGGTAGGGGGCTTAAGTTGGAACCGGAGCCCTGGCAGCCTAGTGGGCTGGGTCAACCGCAAGGCTGGCAGGCTTCCCCCAGAGAAAGGAAGTTTCCTCCTCCCTAAAGGGTCACCGTCTCAGAAACTAACAGGCACCTCTACTCCATCCTGTGGGGTGGCTATGAGCCAGCATCAACTCTCACCTAATCTATGATTCTTCAGTACTCAACTGAAGACGGCGAGGACAAAGAAAAAAAAAATCATTCGACAACATAAAAAATAAAAACGATTTGTGGATGGTCTGTCTTTCACACACTCCAGCCAGGACAGGAAGTTCCAGTGGCGGTCCCAGAGGTCATTCAGGGAGGGCTGCCTGGAGGAGGGGAAGCCTCATCTGAGCTAATACTTCCATTAAGACAGCCCTGATAACGAAACTGGGTTCCCATTGATGCTGAGTCACAGTGACCCCATCTGCGTCTGAGAATCATGTTTCCAAGGGCTGGTTTTGGGGGAGAGGATTACCAGCTCATTGCTTCTTCCAAGGTGGTTCTCAGTGGACTCCAACCTCCAACCTTTTCAGCAGCTAAGGGTATGAACGATCCGTATCACCTCTCGACTCCATAACTCCCTCGTATGGAGCACTTAGAAAGGTAGGGGTGGGTTATCCAGCGGGTCAGTGGTTTGAACCCACCAGAGGCTTTGGGGAAGGGGGATGGGAAATGGGGGGGTGGGAAGAGAAGATCTGGCAAACTCTGTTCCCAGGAATGTTAGTTGCTCTCAAGTGCTTTCCAGCTCATAGCAACCGGATGTAGGACAGCACAGACCACTGACCGCTCCTGCGCCTGCTCACGGTTTGGTTACGCTTGAGCCCACTGCTGCCGCCACAGTGTCCATCCACCTCACTGGGAGCCTTCCTCTTTGTCGCTGACCCTTCTGCTTTTCCAAGCAGGATGTCCTTCTCCAGGGACTGGTCTCTCCTGACAAGATGTCCAAAGTACATGAGACGAAGCCTGGCCATCCTTGCCTCTGAGGCGCACCCTGCTGGGACAGATCTGCTGTGCTTTTTGGGTAATCCATCATGCAGCGGTTCTCAACCTGTGGGTTTCGACCCCTTTGGAGGCCAAA